CACAACTCCAATTACAATAAGGTAAAAATTTTAAAATCCTAAAAGTGTATAAAATTCTTTTTTTTTTATTTATTCACAATACTTGTTAAGTATTTTCGTATTTTCTTTGTCTTCTTTGTCTCCCTTTGTTGCTTTGTAATTTGCCAACTCGAGATTCACCAAATTAGGATCACACAACAAAGATTTGGGACCACATTACAACCTTGGTATCTTCTCTTCATTGTTTACAAATAACTTTATTTATTTATTTTTACTTTTAAATAAAAATTATGAGTATTAATTTATAATTATTTGTTAAGTTTTGATTTGTAAAATTTTTTGATTTGTTATTATTTATGTTAAAATAAGAGATTTTGATATGCTAAAATCATGAATCTTAATTGGTAGTGATTTATATTAAAATTAGGAATTTTGGTTGTTGTTGTTTGTGCTAAAATTAGGGATTTGATTTGTGCTAAAATTAAAAATATTTATTTGCAGTGATTAATATTTAAATTAGGGATTTTGATTTGTTATAATTTGTGCTAAAATTAAAATTTTTGATTTGTTGTGATTTGTGCTAATTTAAATTTTTTGATTTGTGTTAACATTGGAGATTTTGATTTGTGGGGGTTTGTGATTTTAATTATGAATTTTTATTTTGATTTTTAGTTTTTTCAAACAGTCATGGAGAAATATTTCAAAAGAAAATCAAAGTTGGAATCATCTCTTCCTCAAGAAGAAGATAATAATTATCCTTCCGCAAAACAAAGTCGCATAGAAATCAACTTAGTAGACCTTCCTGTAGATCCATGACTATGGCCTCGGATTTTGGACTATAATGCTAATGATCGAGACCGAATTCGTAGGGCATATCTACAAAAAGGTCCTTGTCAATCTCATGATCATAATTTTTCACAAAAATCATTTGGACAAAAACTTCGGCGATATAATCAGGCATGGTTTAGTGAATTTCCTAATGGTACTTAATGATCAACTTGACACATATATTATCGACATGCTATCTAGTAGTGAGCTCTCAATGTTGAATGGAATTGCCGATCTTGTTAAGAAAATGGTGGAGACTGGAAGAGACAAAGTATATCCATTGGTGTATTTGCTCTTGATTTTAGCATTAATCTTACCTGTTGTAACTGCAATTGTTGAGAGGGTATTTTCAGCTATGAATATTGTGAAGAATCGGTTGTGGGACCGAATGGGTGATGAATGGATGAATGATAGCTTTGTTATCTACATTGAGAGAGGTATTTTTTATGGCATTGACAATGATACTATTATAGAAAGATTTCGAAAGATGAAAACTCGTCTTGGTCAATTGTAAAAATTTAAAATTAAAAACTATTTGTAATGAATATTAATTTTTAATGTTTAACATTAGTTTGAAAAATTATTATTATGTTATTGTTATTGATTGAGGAAGAAAAATTTTGAGATTGTAATTAATAGGTGCCTCCCCTATATTAAATTCATGGCTCCGCCACTGATCATGACCCTAAAGTCGATGTGAGAATGTGGATGTGAGCTAGAAGAGCTCCTTGATATGTTAGCTTAGGGCCTTTGTTTTTGTAGGTCGAGAGTTATTGTTGGTTGAACCCTATCTTTTGTGTAAGCCATTGGTCACTCCTTTAAACATGTTGATTTGTTTTGATTTACATATTGCATGTTCATGTCACACAGATGATGAATATATGATGTATGTAACGAATACAAAATATGATTTGAATGATATTCATATATTTATATAGTCTAAAATATTCTTATAGGTTCAGATTTTGTAAATCCGAAGCGTGACAAAAATAAAGTTATTCATATATTCAAGTAAAATTGACTCCGTTGATTTATAAAAATTAAACGCACTACAAAGAGTTTAATAAAATTTTAGGAAGTTTCAATCTAGTTGCTTGGGTAGATAAGATTTATCTATTGCTTTTATCAGTAAAGACTACAATAGTAGAAAGAACTTTTTAAAGATGAAAATAAAAAAAAACTAAGGGTAAATTACAGCGATGGTCCCTACATTTTGTCTCTTGTATCATTTTGATTCCTTCATTTTCAATTGACTCAATTCTTTTGTGTCAATTTAGTCCAATTGATAATGTCGTTAGTGTTTTTGATGGAAAATAATTACTGAATTGGTTGAGGTCAACTCACTGAATTTAATAAATTTATAATTTTACTATAAAAAAATATGACACAAACCACTTATATGTATATTTTTTTATAAAAAATGCTAAGAGTTGTAATCAATTAGACTAAATTAAAATAAAATCACAATTTAAAGTTAAAATTAAACTAATTGAAATTATGAGTACCAAAATGATACAAAGATCAAAATACAAATGATTATCTAATCACAAATATTGAAAATGATATATATATATATATATATATATAATAGTACTGAAAATGAGACCATCATGCAATGATTCCAAAATAAGTTGCGACACACAAATGGAAAAATTATACAAAATGGTGTGGCACTGCCACCTTATTGTGGAAGCTAATTCTGAATAATAATTCTTGTGGATAAGCATTTTCCTTCCAGAACATGATATAAATTTAGAAAGCAATGTGAAAAAATATATTTGCCATTGGCGCTCCCTTCGTGCCATGTCGATTAGGACGAATAAGGGAGGTGGCGGGTCAAACAAGAGTAGAAAAAAATGAGTTTATTTTTCTAATTTTAGAAATGAAAAAATACTAATAAAAATGAAAGGTAATACAGTAATGATGGAGAGTAGTAGAGTTGGAACTTTTAATGTCAACTCTAGTAATGTGGTAATGTATTAAAAAAAAATACAAAATCATAAGTCAAAACATTAAATTATAAAGTGAGGTCCACCTCTACAAGCCCCTCTAGAATTTCTCATTCAGAGGTCTGAAACATTTTTAAAGATAATATATTATGTTGTTCTGTACTCAAAACGACGTCGTTTTGGCCATTTAAGTCACTTTTGAGCCACAAAATTTGAGTTACGTAGCATTGTCGTAAAAAAAAATACAAAATCATAAGTCAAAACATTAAATTATAAAGTGAGGTCCACCTCTACAAGCCCCTCTAGAATTTCTCATTTAGAGGTCTGAAACATTTTTAAAGATAATATAATATATTACTGACATTAATTTATAAATGAATAAAGTTAAAAACTGAAAGATGTGAAATTTTATTTTTTTTTATTTTTTTATTTTATTTTATTTTTTTTTACAAAAAGCACATGGCTCTAAAATAGATTTTTATTTTTTTATTTTATTTCTTTTGCGAGTAAGAAAAAGCACATGGCTGTACTAGGCTTGAATATAGACAGTTGAAAATGACTGGGTCCAAACCTGTAGAGTACAAGCAAAACTGGTCCGGGCCCACGAAATAAAGGGTGGACACCACCAATTTTATACCTCAGTAATGGTAGAAGGCTCGAATTTCTCATATTCGAATGACTCGAATTGATCAAAACGACGTAAAACGACGTCGTTTTGATCAATTCAAGCTATTTGAGCTGCGAATATTGTGGCTACCAAACATTTTTCTTTATACCTTGTTTAAAATTATTCGGTTGGTTTGGTTTCATTGTTTCGAATTTAATTTTTTAAAAATTGTGTTTTTTATTTTTTTATTTTTAGTGAATATTTTTTAAAACTAATTTTTTTTTATTTTTTTAAATGTACCTTATTTAGATATATCTAAATAGTAAAATATTTGTTAAAAAATATTTTAAGAAATTAATAAATATACAAAAATATGAAAAATGTATTAAATTTTTATATTCTTTTTAATATATTTTTGATATTTAGTGAATTTTTTAAACATTTTTTTCACAAATATTATATTTTTTAAGTGTATTTATGTTAAATGTCTAAAAATTAAAAAAATTATTAAAAACAAAAAAAATACAAAAAATAACAAAGTAAAATTTTTTAAAAAACCAAAATCAACAATTGTGATAAAGACTTCTATACATACATGATCCCCAAAACTCTACTCTTATTCCAACCACTCATAATGTGAGACACATGTATACATGAGTGGACTCCACACAAATATCAAGGACTAAAATTAAATTAGGCCTCGTTTGGGAACATGCTAATTTAGTAACTTTTTGACTATTTGGCTAAAATATGAGCTAAAAAAATTAGTAGTATGTTTGGGATGACTTTTTGATTTTTTAGGAAAAGATGTGCAAAAAGTAAAGAGAAAAGAGAATATTTGACTTTTTGGTATGGGTTGTTGGCTTTTTGACTAATTTAGTAATATTTTGACTTTTTGACTAAAAAATCTGGTTGCCAAACGAAGCCTTAGTCCTATAAAACTACCAAAAAAAAAAAAGTCCCAAACATTTTCGAATCAAACAAATTATTTGTAACTAAAACACTAGTAGTAGTAGGTGTAGATGTATTAGTATGTGGAAGGAAGGAAGGAAGGATTTAGAAGCTTAGATCAAGTTTGGCAACTCAAAAATAATTCATATTTTTATCTATTTTCTATTACATCACCTAACTACTTTTCTGTACATCTTTTCGTAAAAAGACAAAAAGTGCAGTTATTTAGGTCATCCCAAACAACCCCTTAGAGTTTGTTCGGTGTGTCTTGTCTCTATTCTTAGAAAAATAGATAGAGATTTCCATTGCGATTACGTCGTGGCAGATAGATAGATTAAACGACGGTTTGTATCTCTCTATATATAGAGGTGTACATAATACATGCTCCGCCGAATCAGGATCTCCTCCTTACATTTTCTCCTTGCATTTCCTACTTGCAGGGCCATTGAGCTCACTTTTAGGCCCAATTTTAATAATTATATTTTAAGATTTGTTCAGTGTATCATACCTGTAAAAAATCAAATTAATTGGATATTAGAAAGCATGTGTTCAGAAAACTCGAACTAAAAACTATTTTTTTAAAAAAATTTAATAAACAGTTTTTCGAACACATACTTTTTGATATCTGATCAATTTGATTTTTTACAGATATGATATACTAAACAAATCTTAAAATATGAACGATTTATATTATCAAAATTGGACCTAAAAGTGAGCGCAATGACCTTGCAAGTAAGAAATACAAGGAGGCGATCTTGATTCTACTCTGCCTACCCATCAAATTCGCAAGCATATCCTCCATTGTAATTGTAATTGTATTTGTATTCTTCGACATCTCTATCTGAATAATCGAGCATGGCGCTCATTCCAAGCATCTTCGGCGGGCGAGGAAGCAACATCTTCGACCCATTCTCCTTCGACATCTGGGATCCCATCTCCGAGGGGTCTGGGGTAGCCGCACGGGAGACCTCGGCAGCATCGGCCATAGCGAACGCTAAGATAGACTGGAAGGAGACACCGGAAACTCACATAATAAAGGCTGATCTGCCGGGGCTGAACAAGGCGGAGGTGAAAGTGGAGGTGGGAGAAGACGGAAGAGTGCTGCAGATAAGCGGGGAGAGGAGCCAAGAGGAGGAGGAGAAGACTGACAAGTGGCACCGCGTGGAGCGTGTCAGGGGGAAGCTCATGAGGAGGTGCAGGCTGCCGGAGAATGTGAAGATGGACGAGATCAAGGCTAGCATGGAGAACGGTGTGCTCACTGTGGTTATTCCCAAAGAACAAGAGAAGAAGCCTGAGGTCAAGGTCATTGACATCTCTGGCTGACTCTTAAAAGAGTTTTTGAGGGTGGTTTGAATTTGAAGCTGCAAGTTGCTGTTCACAAATGTTTGCAATAATATCTGTTAAAAAAAAAAAATGTTTGCAATAATAATGAACAAGTGGTTGTTACGCTTACTTTTTACTTTTTCAGTGTTTATGTTTGTTTAGTGTTCTTTTCTTGTGTAATGGATGTAACGAGTATCAACAATGATTCATCGCACTAAAAATATATCACTAATAGTATTAATGTATTAAAAAAGTAAAAAAAAAAAAAATATAACTCCAAGATCAAAACATCACATCATTAATGGCGGGACCCACTGTCACCTAATTAGTGGGACTCCCAAGCATTTTTCTAACGAGTATATGAGTTTGGACTTAAAATGACTGTTATGTTTTGTTTAATATACAGTTTTGTTATGAATCATAAAAAAAATATCAAGAAGATGATCATAAAAAATTCTTTATTTTTGAATTACACTTAAAATAAAACAACACATATTAATCAAGAGATGAAAAATTTTTATGATATATTTCATGATTTTTTTTTTTTTATGATATATATACCGAGAAGGCTGTGGCTTTTGTTCAGAAATTATATATATACACATATGTTTCCGGTCCCATTAACGCCACTTTTGTAACATTTTATTTTTTATTTATTTTTTATTTTTTTTGAAAATTGAAAACTAAAATTTGTTATGTATTGCTTTTTTATTAAAAAAATTAATTTTTTTTAAATGATAATAAATATTCTTAAAACTATGTTTTTACTCTTTCACTGCCTCTTCCGTCCATTATCTTGCGCTCACTATCCTTTCATTATCTTGCCCTCACTATCCGTGTTTCAATTAATCATGATATTTCAATTATCCTTCAAAATTGATGTCTATACAAAATTTTAATGATATTTTTGTAATTTGAATTAAAATGAATACATTATTTTATACAAGTATGCAAAACAAAACATTACCTAACAATGTTAATTTTATTAATCGAAGTGTCATAAAATGTTTTTTTTTTTAAATTTATTTTTTTATAAATAAAAGTTCATGAACCACATCATTTAATTACTCTTACCAATTATATCAATGGAAAGCACTCTCAACTAGATGGGTAAATATCAACAAGGTCAATTTGTTTTATATTTTTGCCAAGAGTTTCAATTTGCTGTTTAATTATACGCTCCATTTTAATTTTTTTTATAAAGATTTTCTAAATTTTTTTTTTTTCCCCATAATTTCGGGGCCGAATTTGTAAGACCCAGTAACGTTTTGTAGACCCAATTCTCTATATGACTTATGTGGCCCATTTTCGTAGATGACTTACGTGGCGAGCCACGTATATAATTTATTTATTTATTATTTACTTATAAAACACAAAGTAGAGTTTTGAATGTCTAGGGCTCTTTTTTCTGTGGGGGTCTATCATCCATTCTAGGGATTTTGATCTCCATCCCAGCTTCACCTGAAACATTTCAGAGACGGTAGAATCCTAGCCCATTACAACATTTAGAAAAAGTCGTTTACAACATTCAGAAAAAATCTACTTTCCCATCTTCGCCTGAAAACATTTAAAAAACGGTCGAATCTTAACCCATTACATCTAGAAAAAGCCGTTTATAACATCCAAAAAAATCGACTCTCCATTTGGTTCTTCGAAAGAAGAGAGAGAAAAAGACATACACAAAGTCCAAGAAGAAGGTTAAACTTATCGTGCTTCAATTTTATAAGGTTGATGATACTGGGAAAGTTTAGAGGTTGAGGAAAGAGCATCCGAATGATGAGTGTGAAGTGTGGTTCAGAGTTATGAACCTATTTGACCTATATGATCTAATAATAGTATGGCCATCTTTCACTTTTAATTAAAATTTGATTGAAATTTGAGTAAAAGTTTTATTTGATATAAATCACTGTAATTGATAAACTTAGATTTTAGTACAAAATTATGTACAAACTTCACTACCGGCTAAGTGGTAAATTTTAGAGCCACAAAATAATATTAAAAATTGTGAATAAACATTTGTGTCTTCTTTGATTTGGCAAAAAATTTGAGTAAAATGTATGAGCTTTCATATAGGTTTGAATCAAATCAAGGATTGGGGAATGTCATCTATTTAACCGAAACTATTACCTTGTGTATTTCTAGTGAAATAGTAGCTGTACAGGGACCTAAGATGATTTTCGATTTCATTACCTTATGCTTGTGGTTTTGAAACCATTTGGAGTTCTTCCCTTTCTCTTTCTTTCTTATATTATAAGAATGTGTTCATTGAAGGGATTCAATTGAGAGTATTATGACAAAGACTACACTGTAATTTCTAGTTAGCACTGTGAACTAGAATCTGTTTCTCCTTAGATTAGTGTTTTTATGCTGATGGATTGTCCTCAAGAAGAAGCCTCATATTGCAGATTCGGGCGAGGAAAATTATGTGGACGTAGTGGCGCTGTTATTGTTTCATGGTCAAGTTAATATGAAAGGATATTTTCTGCACTTTTCTACTGTCTATTTGAGATTGTTATGACCACTTGGAAAAGACGATTATATCAATGTACCACTTTATGAATCACATGCTTCAACAATATATAAGTTCATGACTTTACTACAAATGTATTGGGTTTCAATGTTAATATGATAGCTAATTTATTCATTGATTTTGTACTGAGTCATGTAACTTTATATTGTTATGCTTCAAAACTTGCAGAATCTAGTTTGCGAAAGCATATAGTTAAGGAACTGCATCATTTACCAAAGGCTTTCATTGACCATTTCCATGCCATGTTCTTTAAAAATAAAAAATAAAAAAATAATAATAATAACGCTACAAATAATGTTCAATGGTTCATTTGTGACCAAGTTATATGATTCCCTTATCTCTTGTATTCACTTGTAATAATGGCCTTCAGTGCATCACATTTTGGATAAACTTCAAAATAAACTTGAAACCAAAATTCACATCATGCAAATTGAAGCAAGCAATGCACGAATTTAAAAACTGCAATCAAGATAAAACAATCCAAAATCCCAATTCAAAATTTGTTATAAACCACTTTCATTCAAGTGTAACAAAGACATTGTTTATAGACCATTATCAAATAGGCATAAGTTCAAAATTTTTGTCAAAAACACTACATATAGACTACTGCCACTAATACATTAAGGTTTAACTAAATTATGTCCAGCAAAAGCAGCCCAAACTAGCATATGACCAAAACAAAAGTAGACCAAATTGATGTTGATAGAAGCCACTCTAACCAACCTGCAAAAGCATAAAAATCAAATTAGTTTATAAAAATAAAAATAAAAAATCACACATTTATAAGCATATTATTTATAAATTTAAGTGGTAATCTACCAAGATACCTCTATAGTTATATATTAGGTTCAATATCACTAAACTCTGATTGGTAGAACAACCATCTCCTGCATTATTACACCCAGGGAGTGTAAAACATAGCCAAAATGAAACACAAACAAACTTGAGCACTGTAGAAAACACATCATCCATATTTTTTCTTTTAACATTTATGAACATAATATGAACAAGAACTTGCAAAAGATTGTTGAAGCTAATATTGTGCCAAAGAATATTGCTCATTGGCATGTTATGATTTGGGTAAACTTGAATTTTGGTGGAAAATAAGAAAAAAAACACACAATAAGAACCGCAATTGCATTGTTAAAAAGTGAAGGGAATTGTTTCTTTCTCACCTCTGATTGACGGTCCATTCCATTCCAACTATGAGTTAGATTTATCTAGTTGACAAATCATGTTTTCAATTATTAAACCTCTGAACACTTCACAATAGTGCACTTCCAATCAAATTAATACTTGTCATTCTTTGGTTTATCGGGGAAGTAGTCAAAGGATATGGTGGTTCTACATTTTCTTTGACAATAGTTGCAATCTCATTATCAGTTATCTAGAAGTGCATGCCAATCATAGAATTTAATCACTATATAGAAATACATATTTAAAAAGATGTACGGGCAATGTACCGTTTTTAGTTTTGATGAACGTGAGTTGCGTTGGTTGGGTTGTTTCTTCCTGTTTCCTTGACACACCTATATGAAAAAGATTAAGAAAATAAATTAATCAAATAGATATGATTTGATGTAAAAAGGCCTTGTAAATAATAAATGTACATATAGAAATATCTTTTTCTTTGCCTCTTTTGCTATGTTCTCTAGTGTGGATTCTCTCTTCTTTGATGGGGACGACTTTTAGTTCGTACTTTTAATGGACTAAGCAATCTTTTATGCAAACTCGGTATCTCTTGCAATTCACTATCATCTTCAGCTGTAACTATTGTCAAGACTTGATCAAGTCTTGACAATGGCTACAGCTAAAGAATATAGTGAATTGCAAGTTCTTGGACTTCAAACAATAATGGGGTTAGCTTCTTATTGCGCTGTCTTTGTTCATCATTACCATTATCATAAACATTTTTCAGAGCAGTGTACCTGTCATGCCCCGAAATAATTGCTATAAACCATCCACAATATTAATTACATAACAACACATGATGAAATAATTATCTTTCATTTATCCCAATTACTTGTACAAGAGGGTGACATATACAAATATAAATTCACAAGCCTAACCTTGAATCTATAGCATATGTCAGAACAAGAGGTAAGATACGGAGGTAAAATAGATAAATGAATGCTCTAAAGGCTTACAATTTTCCAAGATAGTGCTTGGTTGCAACAAAAGTGAATTTAACTCTAATACAGTTAAAGCCCTTGGCTTATATAAAAATAAATACATTAAATAGACAAAAGAAGCTCTCGCTCCAAGTCCTCTCAAACTATTGCCTCAGTAGAGGCATATCATCAGCACCTGAAATATTTTTTCCACATAGAGTGAGGCAAAGCCCAGTAGAAATAATTCGACACAATATATGAATCTCAACCAAGTTACAGAATGAATACATATGCCATACTTGTGCCAAAACGTTTTACATCTCTTTCAAAACCATGTAATGTCAAGTTATAAAACCATTCATAACATCCTTTCTCTTTTCATTAAAAAAAAAATACTGTGAATATAACACTATGAATCTCTAGGTGCGTGTCTACTAG